CCCCCCCCCCCCCCCCCCGGGGGGGGGGGGGGGGCCATGCGGTGTGAAATTCCTGACCTGGGGCCGGGGCCGTGGTCTCAGGAGAGATCAAAGGGCAGGCGGCCCCTCCGCCGGCTGAGGTGGGCCTTTCCCAGGCCGCCACACTGAGAGGCCACCGGGGGTTTTGTTCTGGCGCAGGCTGGGTCCGGCCTGTGCGGCCTGGGCCGCCTTTGTCTGGCCTGAGAAGTTGGAGGCCCACGTTGCAGACGCAGCGTTCATCAGACGATCAAAGGCCCCCAGTCTTAGGCATGAAACCTTTCTTCCCACTTCCCTTTCTAAAAGGAATGAATTGCAGAGGGCCAAAGAATGCCTTTCCACAGTGGCCTTGTGCAGCGCCTGCACCGCATTAGTCCTCCGGTCCTGCCCGCTCCGGTCCTGCCGGCAGCCACAGCACTCGTCCACGCAGCCCTTCAGCAACAAAGGCCTCCATCCAGGCCTAGTTCAAGGGCCTTTAAAAATAAACTTGGAATAATTGAAGTTCTTTTTCCACTGTCTAGTTTATTAGCAAGTGGACAGTAAGGCTGTTTGAAATCAAAGTAAACGGGCTCTTGCTCTGCAAAGGTTTTCGTGGCAGGAAAGTAGTTTCCAATCTGTAAAACCCTTTTACACATTATTTCTGTTGCAGCAAATGCATCTAACTCATGAGAAATATGTTGCATCAGAATTCATTTTTAGGTAGTTATTCCTCTATCATTGAAGAGCTTAGCTCTCATGTATCAAAAAATGTTATTTCAGCTGAGATATTTTCCAAAGTTGTGTTTTTTAAGTTTTTATTTGTTGGTGACTTCTCTTTACCTGGGGTTTTTTTCCATTTCATCACAATTTTCTAAAGGGATGGAGAGCACCAGGCAAATGGTGGAGCTTCCCAAACATCACCGTGGCTGGGTCATCTTAAGTGTCCAGACTGTGCTGAGCTGGGGTTAAGCCTCACTCACCCAGGGACCAGCCCAGAAACCAACTGCTGAGAAACGTGGCCGCACGTGAAAGGCGCCATTCCCACCAGGATCCGTGTCTGGGCAGGGAGAGGGAGTCGGGAAGGTCTCAAGGTAACACAGAGCACGGTGCTGCAGAGACCGGCTGTTGCTGCTCCAAAGGCCCAGAGTGTGTCTGGGGAAGACCCATTTCTTTTGTCAGGGGCCACAGACAGGGAATTTCATTTTCCAGTGTGACCAACCCTTGTTATCCCGTGTGCTGGGAGTTGCCTTTTAAACTTACGTTAACCGGGAGTGCTTCTCTAAATAATCTGACAGCGTGAATGTGCGTGCATGGTCCGTGAGCATATATCCAGCACCAGGTTTTTGTTCTCGACAATCTGATCTGTTTTACTGTTTTCCTGCCACATAGTGTGTATGTGGATAAGCATCTCCTTGTGCAATCTATATTCTACTTTGTTCCTGTGGATTTGACTATTCTAGGCACCTCACATGTGTGGAATCACACGGCATTTGTCCTTTGGTGACTGGCTGATTTCACTTCGCACAGTGCCTTCAAGGTTCATCCTTGTTGCAGCAGGTGTCAGAATTCCCTTCCTTTTTATGACTGAATAATATTCCACTGTGTGGATGTTTAACCATTCGTCTGCTGATGAACGCTTGGGTTGTTTCCAACTTTGGGCTTTTGTGACTAGTGCTGCTGTGAACGCCGATGTGCAAACGTCTGTTTGAATCCTGCTTTCAGTTCTTTGGAATTGCTGGAGCAGATGGTGACCCTGCGTTTACGTCCTTGGGGAACTGCCACACTGTCTCCACAGCAGCGCAGCCTCTTACTTTTCCATGGGCGGGACACGAGCCTTGCAGCTTCCCCACGTCCCCGCCAGCTCTTGTTACTTCTTATTTCTGTGACAATGGCCATCCTAACGGGTGCGAGGTGGCATCTCACTGTGGTCTTGGCTGCATCTCCCTGATGATTAGTGACGTTGAGCACATTTTCGTGTGCTTACTGGCCACTCGTGTGTCTTCTTTGGAGAAATGTCTGTTTAAATCCTTTGCCCACATTTGAATTAGGTGGTTTGTCTCTTGTCGTTGGGGTGTAGGAGTTCTTTGTATATTCTGAATATTAATCCCTTACCAGATATGCAATTTGCAAATACTTTCACCCTCTGTAGGTTGTCTTTTTACTCTCTTGATAGTACTCTTTACTGCACAAAAGTGTTTAATTTTGATAAAGTCTAGTTTATCTTTTTTAAGTTTGTTCTTAAAAATCTTTTTTCTTTTGTTTCCTGTGCTTAGTATCACATCCAAGAAATCTTTGTCAAATCCAAGGTCATGAAGATTTACCCCTACATTTTCTTATAAGAGATGCTAACCTTTAATAGCAGCTCCGAGCAGTAGATGGAAGACTGCCGCTGGGGACCCAGCAAGTCTGCAAGGTGGAGGTCATCAGACATGCTCGTGGAGCGAGACTGCCCTCGCATGTGGCTCGGGCTTGTGCCCTGCAGCTCACCGTCCACTATACGTAGTGATATCAAGGTGTCCTTCCCAGATGATCCTGTGTGGCTCACAAAGCCCCTCCAAAGCTGTGCTGCTCAATACAGCAGCCACGTGTGCTTACCTAAATTAATTAAAATTGAATAAAATTGAAAAGTCAGTTCCTCAGTTGAACTAGCCACGTGGCTAGTGGCTGCCACGTTGGACACAGCAGGTAGGGGCCACACCCATCATCACAGAAACTCCTGGTGGCCACAGTGCTCTGGAGGGGAACACTAAGGGGTCACCCAGTGGTGTCCACTCCTTTGTCTCTTCTTGTCCCTCCCTGTCTCGATCTCTCAGCCCTGTCCTCACACAGTGCTCAGTGCCCGTGGGGCCAATGTTTCCTGATAATGCTGTCCATACCTATGCGGTATTATAGGATGTTCCAGCAGCCGACAGAAAGTTATCAGGACACTTTGTGCAATTTTCTGTTCTCTCAGAGTGTTAAAAGATGGTGGCGGTTAAGTGACAGTACACTCTTACGGAGTCCAACATTTTGTTTAACTTACATTTTTTATAAAGATTTGGAAGCATCTCAGTTTCTACAGATGAATAATTTAGAATTTGTTCAGTGGGGGAAAAACATTCGAAATACCTACTTTCTCTTGGTTCTGATACACTTGATTTTCAAATGATTGTGATGCAAATTTGTCTCCTTTGATCCCAGTGAAATGTGCAAAAATAAGGTTATAATTTATCTACAAGGTCAGCAAATAATCTTCCTACTTGTAATTTTTATTTATTACAATAATAAATAAAATGTGGGACGTTGTGGGATGTGGGGTGTTGTGTGTGCATGTGAGTGTGTGATGTGGGGTGTTGTCTGTGTGCACGTGTGTGCGTGTGTATGGTGTGTGTGTGATGTAGGGTGTTGTGTGTGCATGTGTGGTGTGTGTGTGTGTGTGTGTGTGAGTGATGGGGTGGGGCATGTGTGTGCATGTGTGTATGGTGTGCATGATGTGGGGTGTTGTCTGTGTACATGCATGTGTGTGTGCGTGTATGGTGTGTGTGATGGGTGTATGCGCGTGTATGCTGTATGATGTGGAGTATTGTGCATGTGCATGTGTGTGCCTGTGCATGTATGGTGTGTGTGATGTGGGCTGTTGTGTGTGCCCATGTGCTTGTGTGTGCCTGTGTGTGTGCATGTGCGTGTATGGTGTGTGTGATGTGGGGTGTTGCGTGTGTGTGTGTGTATGCTGTGTGATGTGGGGTATTGTGTATGTGCATGTGTGTGCATGTGCGTGTAGGGTGTGTGTGATGTGGGGTGTTGTGTGTGTGTGTATGCTGTGTGATTTGGGGTATTGTGCATGTGCATGTGTGTGCATGTGCGTGTATGGTGTGTGTGATGTGGGGTGTTGTGTGTGCCCATGTGCTTGTGTGTGCATGTGTGTGTGCACACGGTGTGCACTGGGGCCAGGAGGTGGCACTGAGACAGCAGTTCAGGCAAATACACTTCAGCTGTGTGGCACCCACAGCAGCCCCGAGTCCCACTATCTTCAGCCAGGTTTTGTTCTGTGGGAGGAGAGGGGACTCTAGCTGTGACAGCTGTCATGCTGTTCAGTGCTGGGCTTGACTGTGCTGACGCTCAGAGAGCTGGGACGTCCTTGCCCTTTACGGTGTAGCCCTCCCAAACCGTGATCTCAGAACAAAAGAAAACAAAGAACACCCCAGGCTGAGCGCAGGAGGACTCTGCTCCTCTCCTGGAACACGGGAGCTGTTCTGCTTGGTTCCTTTTAGATTCATAATAACCACCTTTATTCCTTTGTTCCTTCAAAATGTGTTTGTTTAGTCAGGAGGGAGCATTTTCTTGGTTCTTCCAGAGAATCAAATTGAGAAAATTTACTTGTGCAAAATAAAGGCCTTTCTCCCTTGTACATTTGATACATATTGTCTTTTTCACTTTGTATCCTTGCAGTTTACAAAACCTTCTTGGGACAAATTCTGTAATAAGATGCGTCTGTTTATTGAGTTATTATTCCTGAGCATGCTGTTGGAAGCCATGCTAAAGAATGACTGTCCAGAGACACGGATGGTCTTCTGTGCAGTGCACTGCGGTCCACGTTCACTCCTGTGCACCTTGAAGGGTACTGGTCTAGTGACATTAGCTGAATCACGCGACTCACTCAGCCAATAACCAAACTCCAAGAGAAATCAAAGCAAACCTTGTAAAGAGACACCCGTGGCATATTTGTTTGGTTTTCTTTAACTTCAAATTGATTCTTTCATGGTAACAAATAGTTTTAATACTTTAACAGTAATGTTCTTTTAATGTTTATTGTTTAATGGCTAATAGTGTTGTATCTAAAGCTAAAAAACCTCTGTTGTCTTAAAAATGTATTTAACCAATATGTAAACCTCTAAACCAATGACCCCCGAGTGGATTAGAAAGTCACAGTGAGAGTGATATTCACAGAGCAGTGCTCTCGGTGGCGCCCCCGGGCCCCTTGGGAGCCAGCAGAGAGGAAGGGCCTCGCGTGGAGGCGGGTCTCCCGGGGGTGCAGGAAGAAAGGAAGCAATCCTGGCCCGGGGGAGCAATCAGACCCCCACACCATGATGCTGGTCAAAATGCACTGTCACCTCCACTTCCGACGAAGACTGTGGCTTTCAGAAGCACGTTACATTTCTCTAGGGTTTGAGTAATCCTGACGCTTCTCAGGCAGGAAACCCCGAACTTCTCCGTGGGTGCACACCCTCTGTCCCCCTGGCCACTGCTAAGGTTGCTGTCCCCCGGTCCGTCCAGGTTCTCCTGGCATGTGCTGTGCCACCCCAGTGACTGGCGTGCCTTCCGACCTGAGCATCACACCCAGTAGGTCTGTTCGCCCAGATGTAACATCAGTTCCCTGCACCTTCATGTCATCAGCAAAACTGGATTTTTCAAGGGAGAATTCTATTTCAAATGCACTAGAGAGAGCTTCCTGGACAGTGGAGGCCTCGAATAAATCCTTTTACTCTCAGTAAAGCCTTTTGTAAAGTGAAGGACACACACATCCTACCCCCTTCCAACCCAGCGGACCTGCTTTATAAATGCAGATTTTGTGTTCACGCACCACATGGTCACACGACGCGCAAGAGGTCACAGGACCAGCAGGGTCCAGCGCCTGCTCTGAGCCGGCCTTGTCCCCGTGTCTTTCTACCCCTCATGAAACATCACACATGTGAGTTCTATTAAAGCTTCTCTCTCTATACACACTTCAAATAACTAATTATTCTCAATTCTGGCATACAAGGAGACGTCAGCCATCCACATCGGACAGTTGATTTTCCTTCATAAATCCATTACTTACCTAATTTTAGAGCTGTACACATTTTTAAGCATGAATTTAATTTCCTTCACTGTTCGATTTGGTTTCAGGCTAAGTATAATTCTGAGGTACCCCCTCCGTTGTTTCATATTCTAATGCCTCGTCTGGGGCCAACCGAGTGAGGCCCCCTTTCCTCTTCTCACTTTCCCTCCCAAACAACAGTCCGAAAGGCTGTCACCAAGTAATGAAATGGGAAAGAGATTTTATTTGTAGCATTTTATCAAAGGACCATGCGGTAGCTCTGGGAGACAACCATCAGCAATTATTGTCTCCACGGAGAACGGCCCGGGAGGAAGGGGACCCTCTTCTCCACGGCCAGTGCCAGTGACAGCTCTTGATAGCATCACATGTGCCCAACCTGAATTCTGTAAGCATGATTTCCAGCACGTGACTGTGAGGTGTTTCAGACTTAGGTACCAGTTCTATCATACACACAGCCCTTCAGAATGAAAGAGCTGTAGAAAGGGCTTTTAAATTAATTCTATTAAATTTATTTTTTCTGGCATAATAATTGTATATATTCACGGGGTACACGGTGATATCTAGGTGCATATGTGCAGTGTGCAGTGAGCAAACCAGGGTAATTAGCACATCCATCACCCCAAACATTCGTCATTTCTTTGTGTTGGGAACATTCAAAGTCCTCTCTACTAGCTGTTTGAAACTGTACAATAAATTGTTAACTGCAGCCTCCCCGCAGTGCTGTAGAACATTAGAACTTACTCTTCCTATCTAGCTGCAATTTTGCATCCGGAGACCACCCTCTCCCTCGCCCCTCCACCCCCGCTCTTCCCAGTCTCTAGTAAGCGTATTCTACTTTCTACTTCTGTGAAATCAGCTTTTTTAGCTTCCACGTATGAGCAAGAGCATGCGGTGTTTCTCTTTCTGTGCCTGGCTCATTTCACTTATATTTTTCTCCAAGCTCCTCCGTGTTGCTACAAATGGCAGATTCCATTCTTTTTTGTGGCTGAGTAGCATTCCATTATGTATAAATACCACATTTTGTTTCAGGGACTAAAAGAAAGTACCTTAAAAAACCTAAAAAAAAAAGGGTGGGTTTTTTTTGATATTGTTGTTTTGTTTGTTTGTTTTATGTCTGTATCCCAGATGAATCCCTCAATAATACATTTTGGAAGGGCTAAGATTTCTCTATGAGTTGAATCAGACATTTACACCACACTTGATGCTCCTGAAATTCATGACTCATGGGTCCAAAAGCTGAGCAGTCACCATAAAAGCTAAACAGTTGTCCCTATTCCAGGAGGCCAGCACAGAACATAATTTTTCAGATTTAGTTCTTCTCCAGGAAGAGTTTTGTTCATGGAATCTGTGAAACAGCACTGAGCGTCTAACATATAACTGTCATAACATAAATTATGTCATATTCATGTATCGGCTCTTTAGATCTTTACAAGGACACTTTGAACCAGGGAAAATAAGGCACAGTCCAGAAGAGTGGCTGGACCTGACTCAGGGCCCCACGCTGCTTCTGCGTAACCTGGCACGACTCGATGCCCGACTGCAACGCAGCATTCTTACTCTTAACTGGTCTTTTTTATCTTTGGAAAATTTACTAAAAAGCCAATAGATGTCTTACATTTTTAATTACTCAAGACCAGCCCTAATACACTTTGTTGATTAGAACCCAGCTCCCCACGGTGGAGTACATGAAAGACATCCGATAGAATGCTCTCGAGTGAGTGTGACACACCTCAGCAAACTTGAACTTGGGCAGTGATTTCTTTGTTGGTAGTTTCTGCATCTTGGCTCGTTCCTCTGCCCGCAAGCTTCAGCATGCTTCTTACTGACGTCGGCAATTGTGACGTTCCTAAGAAGGTGGGAGACGCCTGTGGTATATGCAGTGTGTACATTTTCTGTTTGTGAACAATTATTCATGTTGTCTTCTGTGGAGCAGAGTGACTTCCCCGCTACGTGAGAGGGCAGGTGAACAGCTGGCTGGGTGATTTGACTGTACGTAGAAATACGCTTCAGAATGTTCGTGGGAAGCTATTTAGTTATAAAGGTGTTTTTTACACACTGTAATTAAACAGCAGAGGTCTTGGGAGCCCATCAAGCAGGATGTGAGGTGCTCAGTGGCCGTGCAGCTCTCCCCGGAGGGCCCATTCGGGTTCTCTGCGCAGCTCGAGACTTCACACCCAACTCAAGATGCTTGAAAGATGGACAGTGGGAATTCGGATTTCAGCAACTTACTTACCATTCTGTCTACAGTTGTGGCATTGCTCACACAAAATTAAAACACGTGAAAGTTCCACATACAGTGTGTCCAGAAGCTGCAGCTCCTACCTACCAGAAGGTGCAGTCGCAGCCGCTGCAAATGACAGCTGGGCATTTCTGACAAGGTGTCTGAGGAACAAAATTTTACACTGTCGAACAGAAACATCTCTCTCTCCTCTCTCTCTCTCTCTCCCTCCCCACCCCCCAATCCCCCAGTCGCTCTCAACGTCAGGCCTTGACTTTCTCCAGGCAGACTTGTTTTTGGAGAAGCCAGTATCGTTGCATAGTTTTGACTGTAATTCTGCTGCGTAGGCACCAACTGCCAGCGTCCTGTGGGAGAGTCAGGACATGGCTCCCTTGAGCCGATGCTCTGCGCGGGTCCTTCAGGCCTTGGCACAGGCCCCTCTGCTGGCTTCCTCTCTTCCCCATTTACCTGCCCGACCACTCGTACCTTTGTTTCAGGCTGTTTTAAATTCATGGAGTTCCTGTTCTTTTTATTGAAACATAATTGATCATACATATTTGTAGGTTACAGAGTTGACTATCAATACCTGTGTACAATATGTGATGTCAATCAAATCAGGTTAATTAGCATACTCATTACAAAACAAAATCATTTGTGTTGAAGACATTTCATCTCTTTTAGCTTTTTGAAAACATGCAGTAAGTTATGTTGACTGTAGATGCCTAGCTCAACCGCACATCAATAGAACTTATTTTTCCCAACTATAGCTGTTTTGTGTCCATTAATCAATTTCCCACCATCTCCCCTCCTGCTCCCCCTTTCCCACTCTGGTAACCTCAGTTCTGTTCTCTCCTTTTGGAAGTCCAACATATCATTGTGATTGTTGTATCGTTCTTTCTTCATTTATTTCTTCAGCTCCCACTTATGAGTGAGCACATGCAGTGTTTCTCTCTCTGTGCCTGGCTTGTTTCACTGAATGTAATTTTCTCCAAGTTCATCCATGTTGCTGCGAACGGCAGGATTTCATTCCTTTGTATGGCAGAGTAGTACTCCAGTGTGTAAATATACCACATTTTTCTTACCCAGTCATCCGTCCGTGGACATTTTGGCTGGTTCCAACTCTTGGCTACTGTAAATAGAGCTGCAATAAGCAACGGAAGTGCAGGTGTCCCTTCGACATGATGATGTCCATTCCCTTGGGTATATATATCCAGCAGTGGGATTGCTGGGTCATGTGGCAGCTCTGTCTGTAGCTGTTTGAGGAGCCTCCATACTGTGTTCCACAGTGGCTGCACTAATTACAGTCCCATGAGCAGTGTAGGAGGGTCCCCTTTCTCCGCATCCTCACCAGCATTTGTCATTCTGTCTTTTTGATAACAGCCAGTCTAACTGGAGTGAGATGACATCTCAGTGTGGTTTTGATTTGCATTTCCCCAGTGATTATTATTTCTTCATCTACTTGTTGGCCATTTGTATGTCTTCTTTTGAGAAATGTCTATTCAACTCCTTTGCCTATTTTTTTTAATTGGGTTATTTGGGGTATTTTACTGTTAAATTGTTTGAGTTCCTTGTATATTCTGGATATTAATCCCTTGTCTGATGTATAGTTTGCAAATATTTTCTCCCATTCTGTAGGTTGTCTTTCCACTGTGTTAGTTGTTTCCTCTGCTGCGCAGAAACTTTGGAGTTTGACATCACCCCACGTTTATTTTTATTTTGTTGTTTTTGAGGTTTTACTCATAAAGTCTTTGCCCAGTCCTACATCCTGAACGGGGATTTCCTTTAAAATGAGATTGTATTTATTGTGGCCTTGTCAACTTTGCACCTTTTGACGCCTGAGCAGTCGAGCCCGCCGTGAGCATGACCCTCCCAGCTGTCCCCAGGGGAGATTTCTTATCCTTCCTGTAAAGGCTCCACGTTAAAAAGTTGGCGAACACTCGTGGTGTTCCCACACTCAATAGAAGACGCTCATTTCCTAGGAGATGGGCACTGGAGACACTTCAGCTTAGTTCTGGTAGTGTCGCCACCATTTAGTAAAAGCCCAGGACACGCCGTGGGTGGCTGTCCCCTCTGGAGCTGCCCGTGCTCCTATTGTCCGTACTTCCATGTGGGAGGTGAGGCTAAATGGTCCCAGGACGTGCACAGGTCCCAGAGCTGGCACAGTGGGGAGGGTTGGTCAGCTCAGACCCTGGTCTGCTGGTCGGGGCCCCTGCCCGCTGGCGACCTGGTGGTCTCTATTGCCGGATTCTCATTGCTTTTGGCTTCATTTTCCTTTATAACAATATGACATTTGGTTCAAAGGGACGTGCTCCCCAGCACCGCTCAGCCATCCGCCTTCTCTCCTGGCTGCCAGCAGCTTGGAACGCAGGCCCTTCCTCTCCCCGAGGTGATTCGCGGGCACCTCATTGTTCTGCCTCCTCTTGTCCTCTTTGTGTTCATCCCAAAGCGATGCCAGCCACGCTCAAACATCATCACTGCTTCTCAGTTGCCACCAATAAAGCCATAGAACCACAGGGTTGAGAAATTAAGGCAACCTTAGAAAGTTGCAGACTCACTCTCCCGGTGCGATGACTGAAGGACATGGCAGGCCTCAGGGGGTGGCAGAGAAGAGAGGCCTGGAGTTCTCCTGAGGTCCACTCAGGCGGGGTCTCCCTTCAGAGTCCTCCGTGGCCTGCTCCATTCTGTGATCCAGCTTCCGATGGCCACAGCTCCCTGCGTGGCCTTGGACAGCCGCTGGACCTCGAGGGGGGTCTCAGTTTCCTCACCTACAGCAGAGAGGTCGTAGTTCCTGCCTCCCCATGTTCTGGTAAAGATGAGATCAAATGCCTGTCCCCTCTGTGGGGTTTGCCCTGCGGGTCCCTAACCCGCTTCAGAGGCTCCCTGCTCTTCGTGCCTGTAACACTGTGCGTTACGTGTATTGCTGGACATGTCCTCTCTCCCCCTCCAAACTGCAACCAGCTTGAGAGGGTGGGAACCTATCTATTAAAGGACCTAGCAAAACGGAAAAACAAGCATATGTGCTGAATTGATGATAAGGTTAAAATTTTAAACTCAAATAGTCTTATTTGTGTGCAACCGGCTTCACCTGCCGTAAGACAGGTGCCATCTCTAGGAGGAAGAGGCTCGCCATGAAACTACCAGCCCGGGAGCAGAGCGCGGGCACGTGTACCGTTTCTTAAAATGTGGAACACTCGATTTTTTTTTATTATTATTATTATTTCTTAGACATATTCATGGGTGGAACGCTCAATTTTAGAAGACAGGAAACTCTACATTTAAAAACCAATATTAAAATGGAGAAGATTTGTCTATTTTTACATCTCCTTAAATAAAAAATCCTAAGTAATCAAAATGAAAGCTTATTTACTGCTTCCTATGATTTAAAGCATTCTTTAAAGTGGCACCAACAAAAAGAAACTAATAAAGTTATAGTTTCTAATGGTAACGGCTTGCTGTTGGTAAGTGCACAGGCATTTACAACAATTTCTCAGCCCCTCTTTCTTGAATTAATGCTAATGAAAGCTGCCCCTGCCTTATTTCTCTATCTCAACACTGAAATTGCAGCTGCCTGCCAAGCCTGCTGAGGGATGAGTGTAATAATTTTCAATTGGCCTCTTAGCCCAAAGGGAACCCCGAAAGCAGCAGATTGACAGATGCAGCATGGATTATCTCGTGCTCCAAACTCAGCCCAATTTGTGGTTTGTTGCAGGTGCTAAAGAGATTGATATCGCGGCGACCCTGGAGCACTTGAGGGACCAGAGACCAGGCATGGTCCAGACAAAGGTACTGTCAATCAGTCCTCCAGGACTTTAAATGTATTAAAGCTGTCTCTCTCTGCAGCTGTTTTCCTGAGCGGGGAGGGACGAGGCCTGTTTTCATGTAAGCCATGCGCTGATCGCTCTGTTCTGGCCGACGTCCATCCACTCAGCCCTGCGTGGCCAAAGGCGCACCAGGCACCCGGTGAGGTTCGCTGGTGATTCTTGCAACAACTCTAATGTTTTCAATATCAATAGATGTGGTCAAATCTCTTCATTACCCAGATTTGGGGTGAGGGAGGGACACGGCATTTGTATAAAGACAGGTAAATGATAGATCCCAGAATCCTTGCGGGGGAATGTTCTGACCTCAGTCGACACTGTCCAGCCTCCCGTTTCCTGCATGCACAACCGCAGCTGTGCTGTATGGGGGCCACCAGGACTGTGGCCATTGGAATGTTCCCAGGGCAGGCTGGGATGCTGAGCACCCAGAAAAGTTCATATGTATTAAAAAGAGCCAGTCTGCAACAACAGGGGGTTTTTTAAAAAGCATTTCTGGTTACCCTTGGGTTAACTAGAATGAGAAATAAGGTTAATATAACACCCCATTTTCTTAGCATTCTAGAATTATCTGTGCCCAACAACAAAAGCTCTCACACGTCTGTTCCATAAAAGTGCTTAAGTCATAAAATACAGATTTCTCTCTAGCTCAGTGTGTTACTGACAGGCCAGGCCCGGCTGCCCTCTCACCTTAAACAAATGTCCTGAAAGTCCAAAAGTTGGTGCAAGGATTGGAAGGTTTATTCAGATTACCGGTACTCAACTAAGTGTCTAACCAAGAAACAAACAAAGAGAAAAGAGGAGCAGTGGGGTCCAGTTTAGCCTAGTCCCAATCGGCAGGGCCAGCCGATTCCATTAACAGTTATTGATAAAAGCAGTTCTCCCCACTGTTTTCAGCATAAAGAAGAAAAGTATCGACTAGATTTAAATCAGAAAAACAAAGCATGGCCAGGAGCCCTCCAGGGTGCACCTACACAGAAGTGGATACAATCCAACCAAACAGCAGAAGGCGGCTCAGAAAATCAGAGAGAGCTAAAGAGAATAAAGCATTGTCTTGTCAGAGGTTAGGTCTGGGACTCCAGGAGAGATCCACCAGCAGCAGAGACCTGGGAGCAAAATAGTCCCAGTGGCCACTTGCCTCTTGCAACTAGAGTCCTCTGTGGTGCCCAGAGCGTTCCAGTTTTTGCCAGTGATTGAATTAGGCTCTTGGATTCCAAAGTCATAGAAATGAACAACGTACCCAACGGTAAAGCAAGCAGCGCTTTATTAAAAGAGGAGACAGACTTATGCATAAGGGGGGTAGCGACAGTAAAGCCGGTGCCCCGAGGGGAGCTGTTCAGGGTCTTTCATAGGGAAAGGAGTTAAGGGGTACAGGCCAGTGTCACTGGAGGTGGTCCGTTCTGTCCTTCCCGGCTGCGTCATGGGCGCATGCTCAGTAGGCAGTGGTGTTCATCATTGTCGCCCCAGGAGGGTCACTGTAGCAGTCACCTTGATGCTTTCTGCACAGGTGGGAATTTCAAAGCGGTCTTAAGGCTAATCTGTAATTTTTACAATTATGGTAAACAAGCCTTGGGGAGGGGTTTGCAACCCAGTAAATATCTGTTTCCTCTCTTATCTCGGTCTGTTTTGTCAGGGCAGCCCCTGGGCTAATCATTTGCCCTGAGGGTCTCATGACTGAGGGGTGGGAAAGTAACAAAGTGTCCTCTGCAGGGAAGATGGAGTGAGTTTGGTCCACAGGCCCAGCCTTACTCTGTTTCGAGTGTGTTCCTGACACTCTGGATTCCACTGATACTCACACCAGAGACTTAAAATTGTTAAGATACCCTTGCAAAAGTACTTCTTCACACTTAAGAGGATTTTAGGTTATAAAATGTGAACTGCAAGACCGGCCATTCCTGCGAAGTCGAGCCGGCCAGAGCGCCGTGTGCTACCTGGTGTCAGCAGCTCTGGGGTCCCCGCAAGTCCCCCAGCCTCTCAGGGTCTTACCGTTCCCCCTGTAACGTGTAAGGAAGCCCTAGCCCCCACTTCTGTGCAAATGTCACCATAGCATGAAGCAGTGTTGGGGCTGGATGGGGGGATCTAAATCCTGCGATGCTGTCGGTTTCTTCAGAAGCAGCAAAGAGCCGCAGGAGGTGAACTGAGCTCATCTGGCCTGGAAGATCATTTCTTAAAATGCCTTACAAGCTCTGTCTGGCTGGTTCCACATCACCAAAGTCAACCCTAAGCATCGAGGCAAAATCAAATTAAATCTCTCTTACAGAATCACAAAACTATTCTAAACAGCACCAGAAGAAACCGCTTAAAGAGCCGAGAATCCTACCGCAGCCTTGACCTTCCCACTGGAAGTGACACCTGCCCTCCTTTCCTCCACGCCCCAGTGTGGGGGAGGGAGCGCGTTCGCAGCGTGCAGGCCGTTGCTGGGTTTCATTCTGCCTTCCAGAACTTGCAGGATTGTCGCAGAAACCTTATGGGATTACTGTGGCAGTGCTTTGTAAGTCACAGCACACTCCATACTGTTTTAGTTTTTAATGTAAAATTTTGGAGTGATTTTAGACTTAAAAAAAAAAAACACAGAAACAACACAAATGATTCCCATGTACCCTTCTCCTGGCTTCCCTAAATGTTAACACCTTACGTAAGCACAGTGCGCTGATCACACCAGGAAGCCAGCATGGATACAACCAGAACTGCTCATCTCCCATGGCCTGGGAGGCTTCGCGGCATGCGAGGTCTTCCAGAGCACGCGGCGGCCTTCTGTTCTGCAGAACACATCTAGGTCAGGTGCAGCGTGCTAGGCAGGACGGCCCAGAGCAAGGCTGTGCTGCTGGGTGCAGACGTCAGGGGCACATGCCTCAGTGGTCCCCGGCCTGCCAGGCACGATGGTCGTTGCTTAATGGTGTGTCTGCTGCTGTCCCTGCTGCTAGTGATTATTTGTGCCTTTATGATGACTCTGTACCTCGTGGGGAGAAACCTGAGGCTGTGGACACCTCTGTTCTCATTGTGCTGTTTGCCACAGCACACTTTGTAAATATGGCGAGGCTGTCCAGAGCAGGCGATGGACACATGGACAGCTGCTACTCCAGGGACAAGTAGCCCACAGGTTTTGTGCCCCATGGAAGCGCCTGTCCGCTGGACTGGCCTCCTGGCTATGAGGTCAGTGACCACCTCCACCTGCTGGCCCTGGACTGTTCAGGCCCGAGAACCCCTGAGCTCCAGGTGGCCCAGGAGCACGAATGGAAAGAGAATCCTGTCTCCGGCTAAATCTGGAGTCCACTTGTGCGTCACTTCTGCTCCAGGATAGTCCATAGGAAATCTCAAGTTCAAACTAGTTCCTTCTCTCCCTGCCTCTGAGTACCTCTCAGGCGGGCCTCGTACCCACCAGATGGGTAAGTACGCCCAAAACACAGACTGGCTTTGGTGTGGATCTAGGAAATATCATTGGGAGGGCATTTATCTTGTAGCCCCAAAATGAAAAGTGTTGCCCAGTACATGGCAAGGAGAAAACCACTCAGCCGTCTGTCGTGTGTGTCCCGTCTGCCAAAACAAGCCCTTCATGGCACACGGGTCGCTGAGCCTACCTGAACCGAGGTGTGCTCTGGGACTCACCGAAGAAAGATGAAGCGATTCATTATCATCGTGTGCCTTGTCTTCAAGTGTGTTCTGAGTGGCAGAAGGACAGCACTTGCATGCTGTGGCACCGACGGGCACATTGCTGGGTGAAGCAGAGCTGATTTTCTGCTGCTTGTGGCTGGCAGAGTTTGCTTCACATGGGGCTCGCTTTCTGGATCCATTGTCTGCAGGAATTTGCTCTCTTCCTTGGGTTGGGTGTATAAAAGTCCTGAAGTGTGTACATAAATCCAGTTCCTGGAATTCAAGGTACAAAGAAATAGTAAACACGTGAAAGTCACCATCCCATCTTAATTTACACCTGCTTTGCCCAGCATTACCCCATGAGACTGAACTTCCCCCAAGAGTTGAATTTCACAAAAAGATAGAAAAATTACTTGGGCAAAATAGTGCCATATGATCTGAATACTCTTTTAGCCAAGAGAAGTCTTCAGTCTGTTCGTTTGAACAGGTCACATCATCTGGAACCGAGTCCCAGTTGGCCAGTCAGTGGCGAACACGCTGAGACGGTGGACCTAGGATGGCGCAGAGCCTCCTGACGGCAAAATCCCATTTATGTGTTGGAGGAACAAGCCTCAGGACAGCTGCCTTCCTCCCTGGAGTGTGGTTCAGTCAAGCAAGCAGCAGACACTTGATGAGTGCCTGCCCAAGCAGCATCCGACCTGAGGGGCACAGAGACAGGCAGGGCCCACCCCACGTCCAGCACGGTCACCTCGGGAGACGGGTCCGGCAGCCGCGAGCTCGACAGCAGCACCAGGTGGACACAGACCCTTTCGAAGGCCCGCCGCGCTCGGGAGCGTGCTCGCCGTCCAGTCCCGCGCACTGGTGGCCGTCCCCTGTGCCGTGTCTGCAGTAGCGCTGTGAACGCCACCTTTTGAACCAAAGGCCTGAACGTTTTTCTTCCCCTCACAAGATTTCCTCTTTTATATTCACCAGTTCTAGAAATAGAAGCCAATGACTGGCTCGTCCAACACCCGGGCAGCGACAGTGCCACCCGGCCACGTGGGCCCGTCTGCTCAGTCTAATTTCACTCTGTCTCCTCCTCTGCTTCACAGGCCCATTGTCCTAATGTCCCTTCACCCTCTTCATCAGACGCGCCCTCACTCCCTGGAAATGGCGTGCAGGTCACAGACACGTTCCCATCTCCCCAACCCGGCACAGCACAAGACCACAGAGACCAGCTCAGCCCAGTGCGGCCCGGTGCCTGCCCGGGACCCTCCCCACCCACTGCCTGCCCCAGCAAGTCTCTCCTTGTGCCCGTGGAATCGCTCAGTCTCTCTCGGCCTCCCTGTCTCTCTCTCTCTCTGCCTCTGTCTCTTTGTCTCCGTCTCTCTCTCTGTCTCTGTCTCACTCTATCTCTCTGTCTCTCGCTCTCCCTGTCTGTCTGTCTCTCTCTCTCTCTCTGTCTCTCTGCACACAATGCCCAGCGCTCACTTTGCCTGGCTCTATTGTCAGAGATTTAGTGGGGGCTGGGTCTGTCTTTGTGAAAAGAGAAGTGACAGACGAGAAAGAAATTCATCCTGACCTCCTTTGAGAGAGAGGCTGGGGAGCAAACCCTTGGGGGTGCGGTGAGGAGGTTTGCAGCCTCCTTAGAGGGTGCCAGTCACTCAGATGACACATTTACTGTGACAACGAAAATCATCACAGCAACAGCTCGTATACGTGTGAATCCATCCAGACCTTTGTCTGAGCCAGGACTGCAAATATGAACATAAGATAAATACAAATCCAAAGAGCCGCCTGTCCAGCCCCCACATTCCCAGAGCAGCCTGGGGATTCTCCAGCCTGACCCCTGACCTGCTCACACACGTGTCCTCCGGCTGTCACAGGCCAGCCGGAGCAGGGCCATCCCCAGCTCACACTTCCCGTCCAGCGTGGACACAGGCTGTGGCCAGACACACTGACCAGCGCCACTTCGGGCCAGGGCGGGGGTGGCCAGCTGAAGAGCCCCTGGCTGCATCCCCTGCAGGCCTCACGTCTTAGGTTAGCTCGCTGTGGAGGTGCTTTCTTGTTTGGAGCATCTCAGCCCTCTTTCCGATGTCCCATCTTTGCACACCCAGCCAACCCAGATGTTTCTAAAACTGTCTGAGTCCTTCTTTCTCTGACAGATCGTGTCCTGAGACTCAGTCTAGACTAAAATGGTGTTTTGTCGTCCCGCTGCTGCTGTGTTGCATTCACGTTACTTTATGTTTCCCTTAAATTAAATTCCTGTTGCAAAGTACCAGCTCGCATGCTGGATTCCTGCACAATTTCCAGGGTGCTGATCCAGGAATGTCAGCCCAGCAGACGCTACTCAGAATGTGGCCGCAGACCACCAAGGGCCCACGCGGGCCCCCGTGGTGGGGTGAGAGGCTGCACACGGCTGCACATTTTTCACGATGAAGGAGCAGAGCGACTCGTGGCCAGTCTCCTCTGGGACCAGCTGGAGGCGCCCCCCTCCCAGGAGAGTGCCCGGTGCAGGAGCCCCTCCTCCCACCACAGCGCAGGTCCCCAGCGGTCGGATGCGCGCACCCGGGTGCACACGAAGCCCCCGGAGTCATGGTGCATCTTTCTCTCCTCTGGGCCAGTCATCATGGTAACAATTTAAAAACGGTGACGGTCAGTACACCGGCGATCTCTGCAGTCCAGCCCCCTCTCTTATTTTGTCCTAGGATTAGATCATGTTTTAAGTGATTATGATCAAAACACAGGTGCAGTTCTTCATCGTGTTCGTCACCTGACATGTGGCATAAATATGTGGCTTTCCTATGGGATGCTACTAAGTGGCTGCATAAGATCCCACTCAGTTCCATGACGTCCTTCACCAATATTTGGTATTTCCCGATCTTTCTCCGTATAAATTAGGCTGGAGCACGTATCTTCATGCATGTTTATTTTTCCCCTTTAAAGATTATTTCTTAGGCTAGATTTCCAGTGTGTCAAAAGAGGTAAACAGGTATGGGGCCGGCCCGGTGGCGCACTGCGCTAGTGCGCCGCTTGGGAAGCGCGGAGGCGCTCCCGCCGAGGGTTCGGATCCCACATACAGACCGGTTCCCGCTCAGCCGCTCACTGGCTGAG